TAGTATCAACCAAAATTGTATTATGGGAAGCAAATGAGGTGATGAATGCCAATACCTAGCCCAGTGCCAACAGAAAATGACAGGTTTTTTAAATACAAGAAAATTGAATATGTGAGAGGTGACATGTCTTGCCCAGTGTTAAAGAGTAAGTATCAAAGTAAAGCCTTTCTCTGTGCTCTATGTAGATGCCAAAGTCCTTCTCAGTGGAAACTGTAATTTTTGTCTTACTTCTTGACCTCCATGTGCTGGCCTGATATACCTCGGGGCTCTTCAGTCACAATGACATTGCAGTTATCCATGTAGTTGAATTCCTATTGGAGAAGAACTTGAATGACTACAAAATTTCAAGTAATATTCTTCTGCTTATAAAATAAATCTTAGTTGTACAAAAAATTATTAAACTTTAGGAAAACAAAAAGAATAAAATAAAAATTACCTGTTAGTTCGTATCTGAGATAAATTATTAGGATTTGGCAGGATATTCTTGTTTAGTCACATATAATGAAGGTGTATTTAACAAAAGTGTGAGTGTACTGTACATCCCATATCTACTCTTCTTTTTCACTTCAACAATTTTGTTACATTTCCTCATGTTTCTCATTTTTCTCTACTATGTTAGTCTGGCTAGAAACATTGTTTCCCAAAAGAACAGTACACACTACCTTGTTGGAGTGAAGGAGGATCCTGGGTCTGGAGGCCTCACAGAAAGTTGTAAGGACCCAGTCATTGACCTCACTAACTTAATTTTCTCTCTCTGACCTGTCTTTCTCTTTGACATTTTTTCCTCCCTTCTCTCCTTTCCTTCCTCTCTTTCCTGGTATTTCCTGAGTTATTTCTTTCCTCAGTTTATCAAAAGTTCCAGAATCACAGATCTAGTGGATAAACTTCTTGTGACAGAAATTGAAACTGCCTGTGATGGAGACTGCTGGCTGGGTAAAGACCCTCCACTCTTTCCTTTGTTTTTCTCCTATTTATACCCAGAGCTACTGTTGATATCCTGAAGACAGCTAAAAGCTGACTTCCTGGTGCAGCCATACTAAGAATAAACTCCTTTCCAGCTTCACTATCACTATCACTTTTGTGGTGAGTGGCTAGGAGTGGTCTGTTGGGATTGCCCTGGAGCCAAGCCTTGAGCCAGGACTTCAGTAACATCCTGTGATGATACTGAGAGCAGAACCAACCCATCAGAGGTAAGGAGATCCTGTCTTCATCTAGTCTTTGTTTTATTTGCTAACTTGGAAAATACACTAACATCTTTTCTGGAGAGTTGTAATATTGATCCCATGACCACTGACTCCAATTTTAAACCAAATTAAAGCAAGCTTATACTGTGTACACAAGAGAGCTGATCAGCAACTGCTTCACCCAGAGGCTGGGCCAGAGGACAGTAGCTGGTCTAAGTGTGAGGAGGTTTTTATAGTACAAAAAGTTCCAAAGTTAGGTGTCTTGGGAACTTTAGAGTTAACAGGGTTCTGGAAAGCCTAATACAAGGACAAATAGCAGGTTAATGATTTACATGGATTAACATTTCAAGATAGGGAGTAAATTTAGATTATAACCTCAGAATTTATGAGGAACTGCTGAGGTTTTAGGGAGGGTTGCTATCTGGTCAGGGATATCTAGAATTTATGAGGGGCCACTAAGGTCTTAGGGAGGGTTGTTACCTGGTCAAGGAGAGCCAGGCATGCTTGAATTCAGAGCACAGGAAGGAATTTCAAACAAGTTTAACCCTCAGAGTATGGTCAGGCCAAATAGAAATCCTAGTATTTTATAGTAAACAAAAACAAACTTCTTATGACTTTGTTAGGAGATGGCTCCCAATGTTAAGATGGAATTAGGCTGGGTCATCAATAACATGACTGTTCTCACTTTTAGAGAGAATTTCAATTTACATTTTAACAAAAAACAAGTCATCCAAATTTGGGTATTTAAGTGACCAACTAATACCCTCTGAAACCCTCCTTGAGGAGCCTCCTGAAGCCCAATGGTCAGGAATGGGTGTGGAGCACCAGTCCTGAACAGATGGCCCAGGATGAACCCAAAACCCAAGAAAGGCAGCAGAGATACAGTGTGATGCTGCCAGTTTCTCCATAATGGAATCCTATGATGTTCACAGTGATGCACAAAGCAGCAAGCTTAGGACAGGTCACATGACCTTTAGCCTTTCAGACATTTACTAGAATTGTGACCTTGGATAAATATTTCTCCTGGGCTTTACTTTATTCACCTATGAGATGAGGGCCACAAGCCTTCTTTCTTCACAGGATGGTAAAGTTTATAAGGGGTAATACATAAGATATTTGGTTCTGACCCTACTAAACTGTGGGATTCCAGACAGTGAAACATAAAGCCTTGAATAAAATGGGAGCTCATCACAGATCTGCACCTCTGTGAGACCCACTTCCTGGTCAGAGGCTGTCTGATCAGAGCTCTGGGGAGAGATGCCCATTTCTTTGGTGTCCGCTATGAAGAACAGAGCTCAGGAGGAAAGTTGCCTCAGAGGCTATCAGTGTGGAGGAAAGAGATGCTCCTGATATAGTTGTTCTGGAGAAGAGATTCTGCAAGTCACAGGTCTGTCCCTTCCATCCCCAGCTGTCCCTGGGTACAGTTTACAATGATCTAGTGAATTGAGGTTATCTGGAATTGTCCTGAGCAGGAACTTTTCTTGGTTTGGTCTTCTTTACTGGTGTGGGGGTGGGTAGGACTGAGGCATGCAAACACACATAGTTTCACCCCTCCAGGGCTGCTGTCCTTAAGAGGCAGTATACAGAGGGCTAATAGATGCAGCTGTTGCTGTAACTAAGTACAATGGGTTTGCATCTGGGTGAGTGCAAACCCAAAAGCTTAACCAAGAAATAAAAGAAGGGAGAAAGATTTATTATCTGTAGCTGGTAAGGAGAACATGGGTTATTTCCAAAGTAATTTCCTCCTTGAGAAACACAATTATGGGGATTTTATTTGGAAAGCCTCTAAGTATTCATATAGGAAGAAACTTTAGGGGTGAACACACTGCTGAGCATCCTCAATTCAGGATTTGCATTGTTGAGCATGCTTATTTCATGGTCATAGTTCAAGAAACATAGATGATGGACACATTTCTGGGCATGCTCAGCTCAAGGTCATAGAGTTCATGTTATAAGGTAAGATAGCAGAACTGAATGCTCCTGGGCATGCTCAGTAGCCAAGTTTACTCTAGGAGTCTACAAGAAAAAGAGTGACTTGTTGATTTCAGTGATCTTAGTTTGTTCTTCATAAGTTTTCCCAAAAGTTTTTGTAAAGTTTTTTTTTTTTTTAATTTAGAGAGGTAATACATCAGATGTTTGCTCCTGACCTTGCTAAACTGTGGGATTCCAGAGAGTGAAACATAAAACCATGAATAAACTGGAAGCTCATCGCAGATCTGCACCTCTGTGAGACCCACAGAGGTGAAGAAAAATATACTTTGAAAGTGCATTAATGTAGGAATTTGCTCCAAAAGTGCCTGTCTTGCTTAGTGGCTAATATTACTTTATATTTTATACTACTAATTTATAAATTATATTTATTATCCTATATTTATAAATATACCGTGTTTTGCACACAGTCTGAAAGAAAATATCAAAGGAAAATAAAAAGTAAGAAAAATTTGAGAGCAAATTCAGCATTGCTTATGTATGTTGGAGTCCACATCATTACTAGAAAAATGGGTCAATTCCATACCATTGTTTTTGATAATGAGACAAGAGTCAGTGAAAAAGTGATTGGGCTGAGAATTTGTCCCAGAATATTTATTCTAGGGTTATAGTTGTGTTGGAACCATGTGCCATAAGCAGATAGTATTGAATCACATTTTCCAGTATAGATTCTGTATTCCAAAAGGGTATTGGCCTAATGTGTCAAAGCAAATACAGGAAAAATGCAACCAAGAAATATCATTGTGAAGGATTTGGAATTTATATTCAATGATGAATGAGTGAAAGAATGTACAATTTAACTAATTATGTTTACTATATGTATTCCATAATGTATACAATGTATTTCTATATTAGGAAAGTGATCCTACATAATCAGACTGGAGATATATAAGCTGTGCAAAGTAGATGTAGCCTGATGCTTTCTGAATTTCTACTTTCTTATGTCAGTTCTTTGTAATAAGTAAGCCACATACCCATAATCTCAGATACTCTGTTCTATCAGTAGGAAAGATATCAGAGTACATATCAGATTTCTTATTTCTATCAGCTAACTCTTTCCTTTCATTAGAATATTATTATTATCTCATGGAAGCCTTTCTCCCTCCTTCTATTCTCTATAACTTGGTCAATTTTTACTAAAGAAGCATTCATGTGGTGACCAACAGTACTGTCCATGTCCTGGCAATAGCAAGACTGGTACCTAAACTAGATTTGGAGAGGCAGAGCCTGCAATAGCATCTGACATATTTAGGGAGACTCTGTGCTTTACTCCAGTTTTGTGTTTAAATGTCTTCTACAGAGTTTTCATCTGTGAGAGTAGAACCAAGATGACTGATTTGGATGATTGATCCTCTGGCCAATTTAAAAAAGGAGGAGAGGAATGAGGAGTAAGAATTTTACTTTTCAATTGCTGAGATTCCTAATTACAGTATTTTCCTGATTTCATATAGAGTAAACATGATGCCAAATAAACATGGGAAACCTGAAGCTTGAAATTTATTTAAAAAGACTCAGTAGTGTGCTGAGAAGATGAGGTACATTTCTGCACTCTGCATTTTCACTGTGTTTGCTCTCTGCTAATCTACATAATTTCAGATTGGAGACACACTTGGAACTTACTTTATTTGATCTGCTGCTGTTTTGTGTGTCAGAATTTCTCATAGACACAGAGTAGGATTTGATGAGGTGAGTTAGCAGTTGTGGATATGGCCACAAGATGGCAGCGCATCTCTGCTGATGCAGAATGGATGGAAGGATCTTTTTGGCTGATTTCTGTGAGAGCAGGCTGCAGAAAGGAGCTAATATCTGTGCAGGCAGTTTAGGAAACTGCTGTGCTTTGGAAGAAAAGAAGAGAGACTGATACTAGCAGTTCCTTTCAAGCTGCAGTCTGCAGTCCCAAAAGGGGAGCCATGAAGACACTGCCTGGGCCTTTATTCCTGTTCTTGTGGCTGCAGCTAAATTGTGAGTTGAGAGCTTTTGGGAAACAAGGTGTTCGGTAACATTCATTATAAGTCTGACCAGTACACTGGCCTCTTCCAGTCTGTTTGAGGTTACACAAACTCTGGGAAATGATGTCCTGATGATCTTGTCCTTTTACCCAGGTGTGAGCAGAGGAGAGAAGGTAGAGCAGCGACCTTCCTTCCTGAGTGTCCAGGAGGGAGACAGCGCTGTCATCCACTGCACTTACACAGACAGTGCCTCCACTTACTTCTTTTGGTATAAGCACGAGCCTGGAGCAGGTCTGCAGTTGCTCATGCAGATTCTTTCAAGTATGGAGAGGAAGCAAGACCAGAGACTCACTGTCCTCCTGAGTAAGAAGGACAAACATCTCTCCCTGAACATCACAGCAGCTCATCCCAGAGACTCAGCCACCTACTTCTGTGCAGCAAGAGCACAGTGCTCCCCAGACACCTGCAGCCTGTACCAAACCTGCAGCAGGGCTGAAGACATACTATTTTTTTGCACCTATAAGAACATGATTTTCCTATATTTTATTGTCAATACATTCAGTATATATTTTCAACATTCTTAAACATGCTGCAAACTTGTCACAAAATGACCCAAAAAGGATTAGAGCAGTTTAAATGAACGCTTATTGGGAGTTGGTGATTTTTTAGATGCCAAGGCTCTAAGGTCGACTCTCTGGTGCCATTGAGATTTCTCCACAGGACACATTGATGTCAATATCAGAAAGTACTCTTCTTGATGACAAGTCCTTTATTTTTAAAAAAAATTTAGATGGACACAATACATTTGTTTTATTTATTTATTTTTGTGTGGTGCTGAGGATTGAACCCAGTGCCTCACACATGCTAGGCAAGCACTCTACCACTGAGCCACAACCATAGCCCCTTGTCTTTTAATAATAGTATTTGCTGGCTGTTTCTTATTATAAAATAATTAACCTCATGGCATAGGAAAACAGTAAAACATGAAGTAGAAAATTAAATTTGTTCAAAATCAAAAGCTGTCTTTTTCTAAATAACGTTTTCTTCCTCCCTTCTTTATTCTTTTAGTTAAGGCTGAAATATTGAGGCCAGTTTCAAACATACACCACTCATGTATGTTTGTAGGGTCTCATGTCCATTATTTTCAAGTTTCCCCATAGCTTTTAAAGTATCAGATGATTTCCTTCTCAGGCCTTTTCTGGCCCTCTTACTTAAATCACAACCTTCCTCATGCTATTCTCCCTCTATTCCTTTTCTGTTTAATATTTCCAAAGCACTCACTATCAGCTAATATTCTATTTTATTTATTCATAGGTGTATTGTCTTTCTCTCCCCTTTATGATGCAATCATAAAGAACAGAGCCTGTCACATGCCAGGCCCTAAATAAAGCTGAGTGAATGATTTTTCTTTTTGATAAAGAACAGTGAAAGCGATAGTTGTCACATTAGACCGTGCCTTCTTTTTTGTAATTTTTTTAGTTGTTGATAAACCTTTTTTTATTTATGTGCAGTGCTGATAATTGAACCCAGTGCCTCACACATGCCAGGCAGGTGTGCTACCACTGAGCTTCAGACCCAGCCCGGATGGTGCCTTCTTGTTACTGCTGTAAGAAATATCACTGGATTAGCATAGCTAGCCCATAGTAACAACAATAATGATGATTAGTACAAAGCCAGTAGAAAAACAGAATACAAGGAATGTATCAAATAAAAAGAGTTTTGCACAGGATACAAGAAGAGTTTTAAATTAATGAGGAAGACCAGGATTATACCTCAAATTGTGTTATATTAACTGTTAAAGTCAGAGATCCTCAAACTTTGTGCTGAAGCATCTCTACAGACCAGGGAGAATGAGCACCACCCTCCTCCTCCCAGAAACCTGTATGATGGGGGCACAGAGATCCCAAGTACTTGCTGAAAGTGAGCATCTCCTGCTCATTTTACAACACTTGAGTGATCATTTTTATTTTACTGCATGAAATATCCCTATTAACTTCAGGGCAGTACAGCTTTTAAATATTTACCTGTTGCTCTCATTCTCTAGTAATAATAGTGCTCTCAAATTATGCATCCTATTTATCTTGAGTTTTGCCATAAAGGCAAGAGCTGTCAAATTTGTGAGCAATTAATGTTCTTTGTATTCTTGATGGTTACCATTCTAACTGGAGTTAGGTGAAATCTGTGTTGTTTTGATTTGTATTTCCCTGATTGCTAGGGATGTTGTCAGTCATTTTTATTTCTTCTTTTGAGAAAAGTCTACTTATTAATTTGGTTACTAAATTTTTTTTGGTGTTAAGTTTTTTGAGTTCTTTATTCTGAATTTTAAAACCATGTTGGAGAACTAGCTGGCAAAGATTTTCCTGTTTTGTAGGTTTTATCTTCATGCTCTTAATTGTTTCCTTCATTGTGCAGAAGCTTTTTGATTTAATTCCATCCTACTTATTGATATTTGGTTTTATTTCTTGAGCTTTAGGAGTTTTTTAAGGAAGTAGATGTTTATGCCAATATGATGGACCATTTTCTCTGTGTTTTCTTCTGGCAGATGCAGTGTTTCTCTTAATTCATTCATCAGATTTTCTTTTATTAATCATTTTAATAATCTATTTTTGGTAGTATTTACCTGGAATTTCATACCTTTTCATATCTGTTGACTCCTTTGCTAAAGGATTGTAAATTTTATGGGGAGACTTATTTGCATGTTTCCAGAGTTCTTGGGTTTGTGCATCTGTTAAGATGATTTTCTCTTCCTCTTTTATGAGAGTGTATTTTGGTGTTGATTATCTCTTTTGCAATAAGTTCTGCACTGTTGCTATATCTTAGTTTCAACACCTAGGAACAGCATAACCCAAGTCTCAATTTACTACTGCAGAACTTCTAATTTAATTCACTTTTGGAGAGCTGCTACAAAGTTGTGGGCTCTTTTGAGCCTGTGTCTTGAAATCGCTGTTTTTGTTGTAGGAGCAGATGCTTAAGAGCAGAACCTGAGATCCTCCCCAGCTCTTCCTACTTTGTGCCTGGTTGTTTTTTTTTTTTTTTTTTTAGTTTTCCCTATTTCCCTATTCTCTGTGTTAAAGTATTGTTGAAGCTTGAATGGGGTTGGTTTGTGGTGGAACCAGTATGCTGTCCCTTGAATAAACCGTTGGTATAGATTGGCAACAAAGTATCTACACTAAATTTGTAGTGTCTCAGACACTTCCCAGGCTTTTTCAGAAAAAAGGAAAACAACAGCAGTAAACAACATACAGTATTAAAATAAATACTTGGTGCCTCTTATGACATCTACAAAAAGAGGAATGGCAGAGTCAGCCATTAGCTCCAGCAATAACGGCAGAATCTGCAGGTTTGGGGCCAGAGATGATGTCTTCATCTACTCTAGGACACATGAAGTCACCACCATAATGATGTGATCATGCATCCCTTGTGTGAGTGTAGGTCATATTAGATATGGAAAATGATACACCCCAAAAGTAGTGATAACTGGGAAAAGGGGAGTGAGAAGTAAAGCCATACATTGGGAACATTGATCCTTTCCCAGTACATACTTTCCTGGTCATAAAACAAAACCTGGGGTTGGAAAAGAGGTGTCCATCAAACCTGGAAAGGCAGTCTCTGGGAAGAGGCTGAAGCATTAATTCTTCTATAAACAAACCCTGTCCAGATACCTGTTAAGTCAGTTTGAGGTGGATAAGAGTCAAAGCATCAGGCAACCCACAGAGCGAAAGAATCACCAATCAGGCTCTGACAGACCAGTAGTGATGGTGCCTCAACCACCTACCTGTCCATTAGCGGGGTCTCCTGACCAATCCTGGAATGTCAGGGATCTCAGCAAGATGCCCTGACCAACCATAGGAGGACAAGGGACTCTAAAAACCTCCCTTTCCTGTCTCAAGCCCTACCTTCCTGCCCTAAGCCCGATAAAATTCCAATCTGGGTGATCCTGGGAGCGAATCCCCTGAACCTGCTCTGTTGGACTGGAGGGTCTTGCCTGGGAGTGAATCTCAATAAAGTCTTGTCCAGCATTTGGTTACTGGTGCCTCCATTTGTTCATTGGTGCCTGATCTTACAGCACCAACAACTGACCCCAGGCCCTCCATCAGGTCCATTAAGATAAATCCTCAGAACTGAACACCAACCATAGACTCCTTCCCATTTCGCCCTGTGAAACAAACCCCAAATTCCTAAGCACTAAAACTGACCCGTTCAGTGATTGATAAAACAAACTCCAAATTCTCGGGTGCCCAAATAAAATTGATATGCTCACTAGACCACCTCTCAGAATAACCTATGTAAGCCCAAGCTCTTTCTTTGTTTAGTCGCTCATTTTCCACCAGGAAAGTGGGTCCCACCACGGCATCATTTTGTTGGTGCATCCCCTGTGCCTGTGTGAAACTTCATTAGTGAATAAAGCACTGAGCTGATTTGTGAAGTTTGTGATCTTTTGGTCTTTTTGCACTAACAGGTCAGACATGATAAAAGACTGTAGGTAGGAAAATAGGGGAAGATCATGATAAAATTAGAAAATTAGAATTTGAGGGCTAGGACATACTCTAGCTGTCACCTAGTCTAAATATCTTATTTTAAATGGGGGATGTTAACAATAATAAAATAATGGGCTTTCATCTTTCTCATTCATTATTCTTACCACAAATCGATACCAAATATATCTAAAACAAGTCAGTATATATAAGCTTTCTGTATATCACCAACCAGACTAATTAATAAACAATATTGAGTTCCTGTGAAGCCCTGCTACTTTAGGTCATTGGTATCATTAATACATATTGTTCATTGTATTACTAGGTAGGTTACAGACTTAGCAACATTATGGAGCTTATTTCTCAGTTACATACTACGTTGCAATGTGCAATGTTAGGAGCTTTGTGTAGCTCTCAAGAAAGTCCATTGTATAGAGTTACTGTTATGTGGACAGCGTTAGACTTAGTGAAACCTTGTGGTTTTCTAACAAGAGAGTTTCTTTATTTCCAGGAGCTGTGTGCCTAAGATCAAAGTACAGCAAGCAGCTAGACATAGCATATTAGTTATCTTACTAGTTTCTAGGAGAAACTGCAGGGCATTCTAAGCATGGGAAACAGAGTGCCAGTTACCCCTCAGCAGTTTGCTAATCAGAGGAATGCTTCCCTGTATATTTCCACAGTCAGAATCCCTGCACAAAACAGCTGGATCTGGGGTACTGGCTCAGCAGTAAAGCATTTACCTAGCTTGTGCAAGGGCGTGGGTTTGATCCTCAGCACCACTTAAAAATAAAATGAAATAAAGGTCTTGTGTCCAACTACAGCTAAAATAACCCAGCTATACTGCACAGCAAAAGGATGACCCCCCTTGCCTGTGAGCAGCAGCAGCCACTTATGATTTTCTACAGGAGGCTGAAAAGTTCATTCTAGCGCAACCCATCTCTGTGTTCATCCCTCACCAAGTTTTGGTCCTACTAGAACAGAAAGGAGGATCCTGGCTAACTGCTGGGAGAATGGGGAAATACCAAACTATCCTATTAGACAACCCCAATGTCAGTCTAAAGTCGTGTCCACCTTAAATCCAGCAACATTTTTGTCATTAGATGATAATCAGACAATACAACATAACTACTTGGAGATTTTGGAAACTGTCTACTCTAGCAGGTTGGACTTGTCTGACCAGTCCATCACAGAACCAGACTGGGACCTCTTCACAGATGTAAGCAGCTTCATGGAAAATGGCCAGCGAGTAGCTGGATATGCTGTAGCCATGGAACAACAGGTATTGGAAGCCTAGATGTTACCACTGGGAACATCAGCTCAAAAGGCTGAGATAATTGCCCAAACAAGAGCTCTCAGACTGTCAAAAAGAAAAAAGATAAATATTTGCACTGACTCATAATATGATTTTATGGTAGTACAAGCACTTGGAGCTATCTGAAAAGAAAGAAGGCTCCTCACTGCTAAAAACAGGACATTAAACATGACCTTGAGATACTGGCATATACAAGTGGTGGCAGAACCAAAGCAGGTGGAAATCATCCACTGTCATCATAAGATATTTATGTGGCCAGGGGAAATCAAGCTGCTGATAGGGCAGCCAGAAGGGCTCCTAGGAAAAACCATTAATTGGGGCTTTGATACCTCAGCTTGACTCCTGGGATAATACTGCCAGGTGGAGACAAAATTCCCATGGACTAATTCTCCTGCCTGAAAGATTGGTCTGATCCCACTGTGCATGAGTATGCTTCTTCCAGGTCCCCTCCAAATTTGGTATCACCTCTCCATAGCTTCCAATCTTGGGACCAAGTGCTGTTGGAAACAACAGGGATCAGAACAACAACCAGGAAAGATATGACAGGACCTTCTGACATGCTTCTGACAACTCAATCATCTCTGAAGCTCACTGGAATAAAACCCCAGGTCCACCACACCAGAGTGAAGAGGTGCCCAAGAGACTTACCAGAAAGTACCTCTCCCACATGGACATCACAACCCTTAGGGGACTTAAAATACCTGTTCAGGAAAACACAATGAGAGATTTTATGTTTCTAATAACTGTTGTTTTCCCCTATTCCCTCTCTAGGCGGGAAGGACAACTTTTTTTTTTTTTTTTTTTTAATAATAGCACAGATCTTGGACACCTCAACTCATGCAGTTGATTGCTTGATCTGTCTTCCCAGGGCCAAATCCTTCATGGACCATTGTGATCCCTCTGTACATTTAATTATGAACTTCACTCAGATCCCAAATGAAGGCTGGACACAAACACAGAACCTCAAAGCTCTCATCATTATGTCTTGGGTTCAAGCAATGCATTACTCAGATGAAACTGTTTCTAATGTTCCCTGTCTCACTCTTTCTCTTGTTGCCTCTAATACCACTTACCTTGTCCAGAGGGGAATACCAATAACATAGTATCTTGAAATGAGGCCCCATCCTGAACAAGAACAATTATCTTTGTGTGTACAAAAAGTTACCCAATTTCATACAGAGGAAAGTACAGTAGTAACTGATTATTGCTTCCAAGACTATTCCTGGATGAAATGAATAGCATTTAAAGTTGGGAGCTACTTCCTCATTGGGGACCTACTAGATTTTTTTAAATAAACAAAGGTCTTTTGTGCCCCTGCAGATCAGACAATGAGCAAACTGGCTGCAAGAAATTCTTGACCACCACATATTCCTTTGGGATGGGATAGAATTAGGCTTAACTGATTCTCTGGGCTTTTTTTACTGGATACTGATGAACCCAGCCTAACCTAATTCCATCTTAAGATTGGAAGCCATATTGTCAAAAAGTCATGAAAAGTTAATTTCTGTTTTACTATAAATTACCGTGATTTCGAAACTTGTTTGGAATTCCTTCCCATGCCTTGAACTCACCCATTCCTGGCTTTCTCTGACCAGAAAACAACCCTCTCTGAAACCTCAGTGGTGCCTCATAAATTCTGATGTTGGGATCTGAATTTACTCCCTACCTTGAAATATCATGCTATGTAGATCATTAACCCACTACCTGCCTTTTTATTATACTTGTCAAAATCCTGTTATCTGTAAATTCTCAAGACACCCCCGTTTGCAAATTTTTGTGCTATGAAATCATGTTCCTGGAAAGCTGGGGTGCTGATCTCTAGCCCAGGGTTTTTGGGAGAGAAAGTCCTGGCCAGCTCTGGTGTACACAAATACAAGCTTGCTTTAATTGATTTAAAACTGGAGTCGGTGGTATTTTCTTGGCATTGGGGATTAACAATACCAATAGGGATTAAATCTATTTCATTAGGCCTCCTCCACCTCATTCTGACTATCCTATTTATTATTGCTTCTGTATATGTATCTTTCTGTTTAATTTTATTGCTCCTTCTCCTTTTTCAACTATTCAACCAAATACCTAAAGAAAAAATGGTAACAACAGGTAAAAACCTTCCATTATAAAACCCCCCTTCATTGCCCATTCTCAGAAGGAAGTAGCTTTGAGATGTCCAGGCCCAATTTTCCATAGAAATGGAAAGTAGGAATTGACAGTGGGAAAATGTAACAATGATTCCTTCATCATCTGATTGTAGCCTTCATTGCTTTGAGGCTTATTTTTTTTAAGAACATTTCTCTCTCCCTCCCCCCTTCTCCCTCCCTAACAAGATTAGGGAGACAGTGTTATCTTTTTCTGTTGGGGATCTCAAATCAAGTCAAGATGGCGCCTGGCAGTTTGCCAGGAGGAGTGGTTTGTGAGGCAACAGGAGCCATTAAGATGGTGGAGATTCCTTATTGGCTGATTGCTGTAACTGGATGATGCTAATTGAGTCAAGTTGTGTGTAATCAGTTAGGTATATATATATATATATATATATATATATATATCTCTGCTGCTCCGCAATAAAGCGGCTCCTGCTACCTTGGGTGCCTGCTACCTTGAGTTCCTGCTCAGTTCCCACTGATTTTCCCCGCAATAAAGCAGTTCCCATTTCAACCTTCAAGTCGCTTGTCACCTCCCCATTATTTGTGCCCAGCTGGACTGCGGCATTTTTCTTCCCCTAGTTGAGCACACCCAGTACAGGAAGGAGATGCCTGCTGAGGATATGGGAAGTGAACATCTCTTAAATTAATAAGTAAATCCTAGCCCACCATCAGGGCACCCTGGAACCTCCAACTAGAGCTCACCTGGAATATAACCCTTACATCCCCCTGTCCTTTCTGTGTGGGAGAATCACAGCCTTTGGAATAGGAGTCCCCTGTGCTTTCTCCTTTTCTAGCAAAGCAATAAATGTTCTTTTTCCTTTTTCTCACAAACCATGTCTTCTTTATTGGATTAACATGGGGACAAGGATCAAGCTTTCAGTTATAACTATATGTCAAGCACAGGGCTCAAATTTGTACTAAAGTTTTTAAGAACTCAATCTGCATAACAATATTTGAGGTAGTTTACTTTGTTATGCTCGAGTTTAGGACCCCCCAAAAGACCACCAGAGACCAAGATCAATGTAAGCAGCAAAGAGGTGTTTATTGCGACCTAGCTCTGTCCTCTGCACGCACACAGCCAACTGGTGATACTGAGAGGCTCCGAGCTCAAGGTTTGCAGCAGTTTTATACACTCTTTGGGGAAGGCAGGGGCTTCACATACATCATAGCATCTCTTAGCAAATCATCACACACTGTGGGAAAATCAAACAACAACTCTTAACATTGATTAGCACATTCACTGGCGGGAACAAGTTGGGTAGGGGCATTTGGTTAGTACAAGAGGGGGATTCCTTTGAACTGATTGGTTTAGGCCACAAGGGGTGTACATGCTGAACTACATGGTTTCCCAACATGTTACCAACCACCATAAACTACTGGGAGGGTCATCTGGCATCCCAGGTATTTCCCTGTCTCATGTTGATTAGTGGTTGCTAGGGGGTTGCTATGAGTCCTCACCTAGCCTGACTGAGTCAGGGACACCTGGCCCCTTGCAGATCTCTCCTGTTATTTGTAGATAAACAACACAGCAGGGTGGGTATGTGCCTAGGATTGCTCTGTGGATTTTTCCAAGGACAAGGGTCACGCCCCCTTCCTTGGACAGGCTTTGCTCTGAGGTAGAGGCTGGTTTCTCAAAAATGGAGTCACATCAGTTTCTCAACTTCTTATTGTGATGAACTTGATTCTTATTGACATTATATAAGATATTCCTATTCAGGCTCACAGACATAGCCAGCACAAAAGTTAGATGTGACTTCTGTCTATTTGATGCTTAACCCCAATATTTTACCACTATTTCTGCCTAGTAACCTTTCTCTGATCTCATGGTGCAATTTGGTCATACATCATTCATAGAGCAACACATTCATCTTCCATTCAAAGTAGATATTCTGGCTGCCTCAGACTTAACTATTCCCCTGGAAGAGGGGACATCCATCTATGCTACTGGTTTTCTTCCAGCCTGCACTAACTTTGGTTTCACCCTTTTTATCATTTTCTGGAGAAAGACTATCTAAAGGCTATGTCTGAAAAACTGCCTTTTGGGAGGCATTTAAAAAAGTTAGGCCAGAGGGCAAAGAGACAGTTTAGATAATAAATAATTGGGTTTGATCAGGAGAATGGGAGCTAGTTGGAAAGCAAAGGAAATCAAATGCTGAGATAAAGCCCTTCCCCCTCCTTCTCTAAACTTTTGCTAACTACCACAGGAATTGTTCCTCCCTGCAGGGAGTTGTAAGAATTGCTAATTAATGTCTCCTGGGTTGGTCCCTTCTTGCCCATAACCCTAGACAGCTTCTTTCCAGCCCTGATATTACTCCACCTTCACCTTTTGGGCCACCTTTTGGTCACCTACAGCATGGGGAGAGGAGAGATGCAAGATAAGGGAAGAAGGAGGAAATGCAAAGGAATTCTATAATGTATAAAAGGGGCAGGATACCCTCACTTCTTGGGACACCCAGTTCTGGGCCCTCTTCTCTGCACAGAAGTTTATGTCTGTTCTATTGTTTAAATAAAACTTGCTTTCTACACTTGCTTCTGGTTTCTCAGGTGTTCAATCTCCATATCTGGGGAAGTGAAACTTGGCCCTGATTAATTCTCATCATTAATACCACCAGTTAGAGGTGACAAGTTCTGCTCCCTCCCATGTTGAAGTATAACAATAGAGAAGCATGCAGAGGCAAGCATATAAAGCAGGGTTTATTTAAAAAGGGGTAACATAGACTTCTCCAAGGAGGGAGAAGTAAGCCATTGCTGGTATCCTGGTATCCCAAGAAGCTAGGGTGTTTTGTCATATATATATATATATATATATATATATATATATATATATATATATATATATATATATATCTCCTAGGCTTCCTTTGTTCTCCTGCTCTCTTCCCCTTATCTCTCTCCTTTCTGCATACATAACTAGGCTCAGGGGATGCTCCAGTAGGATGGTCAAAAGGTGAGAAGCAGACAGATGGGGGATGGGCTGGATGGACACATTAATGAACAACTTTTACAACTCCATTTAGGGAAGGACAATTCTTGGGACATGTTACCTTAGCAACAGGTTGGAACCAAGGCAGGTTATCTTGATAAGGGTGGAGGAAGGCCTCTAAGGAATTTTAATCTCTCAGGAGGCAGTCTCTAACTTCCCTGACTCACTCAAATTGGTCTCCTTGATCTGACCTGACTGATTTACCTGTCTATACTTCCTGCCTGACTGCCTAATTCTTGCTTTATCATCACCCTATCAAAAGGACATAATGTTATTAAGCTAAATAAAATGTAGCTACTTTACAGTTATACACAGATTAAATGAGTTGTAGGCAAATGGAAACATTCAATTCCTAGTGGACAAATTAGATGTGAAAGGATTAATATTCTTAGCCTACATTGGATTTGTACCATGAATATACACACAGCTATATATGCTTGCCTTTTCACTCTCCAGAAGAAATAAGATAGAAAAGCTGTAAGTGACAAACTTCTACTAGACTTTTTCTGTGTGTGTGTGTGTGTGTGTGTGTGTGTGTGTGGTGTGTTGGACAGTTATGACCTCCAGGGGTACAATGTTGAGTTTGCATGAGTTCAAGAGGGCTTCTAGTTTTATTTTTAATTATCCTGTTAGAGCATTCTTATAATGTCATCTGAAATAGCATTGATAAAATCAGTTGGATTTTCTTTGGTCAATAGTAGTGTACTATAGTATGATTAAAAATATAAATACAACTCACAATTTAGTTTAAATTAAGATAATAGTGAGGCAAAGCATATGAAGCAAATTATTTTTTTAATTAATTCTTAAATTCATGTGATGCCATCAACTGCTGTTGCTTAAAAACATAATAATGAAGCCTCAAGTCCTGAAGTTTTACTCATGATCAGGAAGACATTTCTTTTTCACGCTGCAGTCTTGATTCAGTTACTAAAATTTATTATTATTTTCCCTTATTTCCCTCTACAATTTCTATTGATCCTCAGCCCCTCCGTGTTGAGTCTACTGAAGCTGCATGTTACTTACAAAAGTAGATTTCCTAAAATCATTGTCAATGTTCTGCTCTTTGATATGGTTCTGTTGGCCTTCCAGTTTTCTTTTTTTTTGTGTGTGTGTGTGTGTATGTGTGTGTGATGTGTTTCAGCCTCTTTTTTTCTTTTCATCCATCCTTGATTTTATCAGTTAAGATTGTTGTTGCTTTTTGAAGAGAACTCCAATCTAATTTTTCTCCCCCCTTTTGCCCACATGCTCTATTATCACTGGTGATAGTTTTGCTCTGACACACTTCAGACCTCAATGCATAGATAAATGAAAGGAAATAAAATAGTTTGATGACCACATTACAGGGGCCTATAATGTTAAAAACTACCTACCATATAGGAGCAGTAATTACCCTGCTGTACCTGCACAAGAGGTGCACACCCACTGTGGTAACATTTCTCTGATGATTCTGTCTGTGGCCACCAGGTGACAGTAGCTCTCTTTCCCTCTTTTGACTAGGCCTTTCCTTATGGTTAGAAAATAGGTTTACATAAGAGAAGCTCATCTCTGACTGGTTGACACATAATCAGAAAAGCCCTCTGGTTTACTGCATCAAAAGGACGAAGAAAGAAAGACTTTTGACTACATAATTTTAGGCAGCATTTCGGGTATCAAGACAAAGTATCAGGATGGAGAAGATGCAGGGATCTGTGCTAGTTATATTTTGGCTTCATCTTGGCTGTGAGTTGGGGGATTCTTAGAGCTGGGAGCTCCAGGGGACATTCATTGAAACTTAGGGGACAGATAAGGGTGTAATTTGAACTTATTTGACATTTTGGTGGGGGGAGATTTAGGCACAAAGTTATGAAAGGTCTGAACCACAGTTACACATTGTGTGTGTTGTTGTCTTTCAAACAGGGGTGAAAGGAGGAAACCAGGTGGAGCAGAGTCCTCCTTCCTTGAGACCCTGGGAAGGAGACGGCACCTCTATGAGCTGCACTTATTCAGTCAGTGGTTTTAACGGTCTGCAGTGGTACAGAGAGGATGCAGGGATAGGTCTCAGACACCTCTTCTCCATGTATTCAGCTGGGGATGTGAAGCAGAAGGGAAGACTCCAAGCCACGTTGTTGAAGGATGGAAGCAGCTTGAACATCACAGCCGTGCGGCATGGAGACTCAGCCACCTATTTCTGTGCTGTAGTCACACAGTGCAACCCAGGCACCTGCGACCTGCACCCAAATCTACAGCTGAGCAGGCGCAGCTTGACAGAACCCTCTGCAGCAGGGCTCGAGCCTAGGTCCTTGTATGGAGTTAAAGGCTGACACCTGCAGAGCAGGGAGAAGACCCCAGCAGCCAGGGAGGTCAGGAGACAAGTGCTGATGCTCATTTGAGCCACATTTTTCATCTGGCCACCCTTCACGTTCTCCTGGGGCCTCTTCTGAATACATCAATCCCAGTGTTCCTTCTCTCCTACCAGATCCATCAGAGCCCCTGGTCATTCTTTGGATATGGAGAGCATGTCTTCTTTTGGGTCTGGTGGGAACAGAAAAACTTAGGACTGCACTTCCACTTCTAGAAATCTGACAAAAGAACTGTAGATAGGAGCACAAATCTGGATAGGTTATGTATACCAAAAGGCAAGCATTGTGGCTTTCAGTATGTAAAATGTTCTATCATTGGAATAAACCCAATCATTAACTGTTTATTAATAAACTTATCAAAGACCTGATAAATGTTACATACTCTTCTTCCTGCTCCCAAGAAGCTCAGAATGGTAGGAATGATAGACTGGTAGGAATGGTTTGTGAAAAATGCTGTAGCGGTAATGTCTATTCACTCATTTATTGAACTAGTATCTATCAGCTCCTAAAATGTGCCAGCACTCTTTATAAGTATCTGGACAAATCAATACTGAGCATAACACAAATGTTTGTGGGGCTCATGTTTCCTAAAGGTTTGTGCTGCATAGAGTGAAAGCTGAGTCTGCTTATGAATAGGGGTCTTTGAGAAAATTCAGCCAAAGTTCTGTGTCTTCTTCATCACTCATTCTTCCCAAGAAAGCATGGTTAAAGATGGGAGCTAGTTGTCTGATGCTCCACTCCATGGGCAAGTGCTTGGGAAGGCTGTAGTCCCTTAGGACAGTGGCAAAACTGGTTCCCATGTGTTAGACATGACTGGCAGGGTGAGGAGGACCTGCCAGGTGGATTTTGATATCCAATCAACCTGGAAGTTGAAGAGTTATTAGCTGACTTAGGAAAACAAAATATAATAGCACCTGACCCTTTATCTAATAATAAAATTGTAGAGATCAAATAAAATACCATTGGAATTGATGAATAATATTAAAAGTATTCACACATTATTTTAAATAAGAATAGTTTATGGGAGCAAGGACTACAGATTGTAGGTATTCTTAAAAGGACAAACAGAACAAAAATAGAAGAAGAAAAAGGAAATTACATTATTTAATCTGACCAGAGTCTGCTGTGAGGACCTGTAGAGTGTAGGGAAAGGAGTGGACAGTAAAAGGGGAGAGATAGAGAATAAAGCAGGGTGGACATCATATTTACAACTTATATTTATTTTAATTAACAAAACTCTTGTTGGAAATGTTTTCTATTGACATCACAACCTTTTGACTTTAAGAAATTATATTTATTTCTTAATACACAATTCATACAATTAAATAGTTACCTTTATCAGAATTTTCATATAGTTTGTAAGGTCAGGCAGTGGCGACTAAAAGGAGGCAAATTTAAAAGCTGCTGAAGGAGGCTTTATTGAGATTGTGCTCCCAAGAGAGACCCTCAGATCAACAGGGTGGGTCTGAGGAGAAGCAGTTGGGCCTGGACGAGACTGGAATTCTTATTGAGGTTAGGGCAGGAAGGGAGGGTGTGGGACAGAAAATGTTTTTTGTTGTTGTTGTTTGTTTTGTTTTGTTTTTAGAGTCCCTTGTCCTATTGGGGTTTGTTTGAGGTGCTGGCTAAGATCCAGGATTGGTCAGGAGACCCCTCTGATTGACAGGTAGTTCTGTCAGCACCTGATTGGTGGTTCTTTGGCAGGCATAGGTTGCTTGGTGCTTTGTTCCTTAATCACTTCAAACCAACCTAACATAATTCATTTCTGAAAATCTTTGTCAAGATGTGTAACTTGAGCAATGGGCTCACTCTTCCTGTGATTCTTAAAGGCTCTCTTTCACCCAGTTATGACCTAGCTCTTTACTGGGGTATCATACTCATTTCTCACATACCTTTCCATAAACTTCTCCTATATCAGATTTTATAAGAAAAAAAACACACTTTCATCTTCATTCATTGAAAACATGGCCCTCTACCCCTACACTGTCCTCACACAATTTTTGGAGCCACCACTGCTGTCTCCCTGGGCCACTGGGGGTGGAGCTCCCTGTTAGGGGCAGGACAGAGCTCAGATGTGACTGGTGCTCAGGGAGTCAGGTGTTACCTGTTGCCTGGAAGAACAAGCTTGTCTGGCCCAAGACCTGACACCTGCGGAGCAGGGAGAAGACCCTAGCAGCCAGGCCAGCAGCCATGCAGAGGGGACTGGGGGCTCTGCTGGGGCTTCTGTGGCTGCAGCTTTGCTGTGAGTCGGGTTCCTCCCAGATGGGGCTGGGGGTGTTGTAGGGCTGGCAGTGTGAGGGAGGGCAGGGAGAGCTGGCACCAAGCCCCCTCCCTGTGCTCCATCCTCAGGGCGTTTCCTGGGATATTCTGCAGGGTTGTGAACTGGTCATGGATTCCCCAGTGACACCAGCTGAGTTTGCTTTTCTCTTTCCAAGCAGGGGTGAGAGGGCAGCAGGTGGAGCAGAGTCCTTCAGCCCTGAGGCTCCAGGAGGGAACCAGCCCTACTCTGAGGTGCAATTTTTCCACCACCATGGACAGAGTGCAGTGGTTCCAACAGAATCCTGGGGTCGGCTTCATCAGTCTGTTTTATCTGACTTCAGGGACAAAGCAGGAGGGAAGGTTAAAGGCAACAATGAATTTTCAGGAGCGCTACAGCACCCTGCACATCTCCACCTCCCAGCTGGAAGACTCAGGCACCTACCTCTGTGCAGGGAGGCACAGTGCTCCCAGGGGACCTGCAGCCTGTCACCAAACTGCAGCTGCACCTGCAGCCACCATCTGTACCTCAGGGAGGACTCACACAGCATCGTTTGAACAGTTATGGGTGTCCTGAGTCATGTCATAGCACTTTCACCTCTGGTAATGGGAGAATTCTCAGCACTGTCATCCCACTTGGGTTGGATCCTTTTCATCACAGAAACCCTTTTCAGGAAAAATTTCTAATAACAAACCACTGGGGCAACTGATAAGGATGTCAGTGCACAAAGTACTATTAAAACAGATCCCTGGAAGAGCTTGTAAATGACATCTAAATTACTGTGATGAAAAAGACTTTAGTGTTAGGAAAATTGAAGAGATGTCTCAGTGTGTTCCAGCGAATAGCAGATTGTTCAATTTCCAAGGGAAAAAATGTGCCCGTTTCTTTCTCTATGTCTCTATGTACATTTATTTATACTTCATGTTGGTATTCAGCGTTTTCACTCCTGGAACCCATAACAATTATAATTTAAAATTCCTTCCTGTCTTGGAGTGTTAGGCACTAACACTAGGTAGGTTGTTACATATATGACCATAGTACTGAGAATACTTCTTTACTTTGTACTCAAACCAGGAAAGAGCAGAGGTGATTTGCCAGAGTTCCATGTTTACTTATTTGCAAAGCTGGGGTGGGATTCCCACTCAGATATCTGATTGCAGAGCTTGTGCTCTGAGCTGGCCAATGTAGGAGACTCAAAAAACGTAGATCATATTTATTGAGAATATTTTACAATGAGTTCATGTACATCACTGATGAAAATATACTTTTAATTATTTCTAAGTAGCACCCTCTAAGGAAAAGCTCCTTAAAATTTTCCTTTTGTCATATGAAAATCCACTGCTCTTCTGCTACTTACTTTTTAAATTTTTTATTTGTTTTAATTAGTTATACATGACAGTGGAGTGCATTAATGTACTTTGATATATCATACAAAGATGGGATATAATTTCTCATTTTTCTGAGTGTACATGTTGCAGAATCACATTGATCATGTAATCACATATATACATAAAGTAATGTCTGTTTTATTCTACTATCTCTGCTATCTCCACATCCCCTCCCCTTCCCTCCCACCACTTCCCTCCACCTAATCTAAATAATGCTATTCTTCCCTAGTGCCCCCCACCTTATTGTGAATTAGCATCTGCATATTAGAGAAAACATTTGACCTTTGGTTTTGTGGAATTGGATTATTTTGCTTAGCATGATATTCTCCAACTCCAGCCATTTACTGGCAAATGCCATAATTTCACTGTTCTTTAAAGCTGAGTAATATTCCATTGAGTATATACACCACATTTTCTTTATCCATTTATCTATTGAGGGACACCTAGGTTGCTCCCATAGTCTAGCTATAGTGAATTGAGCTGCTATAAACATTGACATGGCTGCATTACTGTAGTATGCTTACTTTAAGTCTTTGGGTATAAGCAAGGAGTGGAATATCTTGGTCAAATGGTGGCTCCATTTCAGTTTTCTGAGGAATCTCCATACTGCTTTCCATCGTGGTTGTACCAATTTGCAGTCCCACCAGCAATGTGTGAGTGTACATTTTTTATCATATCCTCACCAACATTTGTTGTTGCCTATATTCTTGATGATTGCTATTCTGACAGAAGTGAGATGAAATCCGAGTAGTTCTGATTTGCTTTTCTCTAATTGCTAGAGATGTTAAACACTTTTTCATACATTTGTTGCTAATTGTATTTCTTCTTCTGTGAAGTGTCTGTTCAGTTCCTTACCCCATTTATTGGTTGGGTTATTTGTTTTTTTGGTGTTAAGTTTTTTGAGTTCTTCATATATCCTAGAGATTAATGCTTTATCAGAGGTGTGTGCAGTAAAGATTTTCTCCCAGTCTGTAGGCTCTCTCCTCATATTATTAATTATTTCTTTTGTTGAAAAGAAGCTTTTTAATTTGAATCCATCCCATTTATTGATTCTTGATTTTACTTCTTAAACTTTAGAAGTCTTTTTTTTTTTTTTTTTTTTTTAGAAATCTCATTAGGGAAGTCAGATCCTAGGCAGACATGGTTAAGATTTGGGCCTATTTATTCTTCAATTAGGTGTAGGATCTCAGTTCTAGTGCCTAAGTCTTTGATTTTTGTGCAGGGTGAGAGATAGAGGTTTAATTTCATTTTGCTATATATGAATTTCCAGTTTTCCTACACCGTTTGCTAAATATGCTATCTTTTCTCCAGTGAATGTTTTTGGCACCCTTGTCTAGTATGAGATGACCATATTTATGTGGGTTTGTTTTTGTGTCCTCTATTCTACACCATTGGTCTACAAGCCTATTTTTGTGCCAATATCATGCAGTTTTTGTTACTATAACTCTATAGAATAATTTATGATCTGGTATTATGATCCCTCCAGCTTCATTTTTCTTGCTAAGGATTGCTTTAACTATTCTGTGTCTTTTTTTTTGTGTGTGTGTGTGTGTGTCTTATTTTTACAAATAAATTTCCATGACAGTTTTTTTTTCTATTTCTATGAAGAATGTCATTGGGATTTTAATATGAATCATATTACATCTGTATAACACTTTTGGTAGTATGGCCA